TTCATCTTTAAATCACTTCTTGGTCTGCTGCCTTCATACATCTCCTCCTACATGTCTCTGCGTGAGTGCAGCTACGGAGTGCGCTCTCAGGACATTATTACCTGCAGTGTTCCCTCAGTGAGAACTGAACTCGGCAAAAGGGCCTTCTCCTATTCCGCTCCTGTTTCCTGGAACATCTTACAAAAAGATTTGAAGCTCTCGACCTTGACCTCTCCAAGTGTCTTTAAGAATCTGTTGGACACCTGGCAGGGTCCAATGCTGACATGTTCCTGTTGTTAGTTTTCTACATTTGTCTTGGAATCTAGCTGTTTTTTTTTGTTTGTTTGTTTTGCTACCTTTTCCTTTTAGCCATCCTATTTGTTAAAAAAAAAAAAAAAAAAACTGTAGTATGCTTTTTTATAACTGTTTATTGTTGTTGCTGTTGTCCATTGTTGTCATCTTTCTTTGTTGAAATCAGGTCTCTCTTGTAAATGAGTCCTCGAGGCTCAATGGGATTTACCTGTATAAATAAAGGTTGATTGATTATAACCGAAACAATACTCTGGTAATTATGCAAAGCAGAAGGTAAATCGATTTAATATTTAAATAATGGTGTACTCAATGAATTTAAATTTACTGTCTTATGTCTTTGAATTCTTATTTCATAGTCAACTAATCTGACTTTATTTATTTATTTAGATATGTTGATTAGTCAAAAATTCTTACAACAGGTCAGTTAGGACTCAAAATCCATGATGGGTATTCATCTCAGCTATTACCACTACAAAGAGACCAAAAATTGATGAAAGGGGATAAAAAAAATCTGCAGATGGTCTCGTTTGTATCTAAATGGATGTCAGACTAGTCGGAACAATAAACCTTATTTGCTAGAGATTTGCTTCAGCTATTAAAACAGGACTGGAAAAATTGCGTAGACTGGTAAATTTGTATACATTTTTAGAAAAATTTATCTCACATGGATGTCTCATGTCAGGGGAGGCTGCCGGACAGACCTGGTAAACCCAAATGCATGAGGGTGAACTGGCAATGTCTCGTGGAGCCCCTTGTCTCCCTTCTTCAACTCACACCTCCAGGAGAGTTTTTCCACATGTCCCAGGGAAGGTTTGGGATATTCATTCAACCTTTATTTAAACAGATAAATCACATTGAGCCTCAAACTCATTTACAAGTGAGACCTGTTTGGACAGACAAAAATAGTGGTTAACTGGACACATGTAGGAGTTGGAGGCGAAAAAAATTCCTATCAGACTTTTTTCTTGGCTGAGAAAAACCCCTAATATTGAAAAAACACCTCGCACAAACAAGCACATATTTACGTAGACATTCTGCAATAGAGAAGAGCAGGAAGAAGGAAGAGACGAGAGCGGTCAACAACACCTACAGATGCTCTCGAGGTCACTGTAATCAGTCAATGTCCTCCGGTGAGATCCATAAACATTCTCGAGGAATGGCCAAGAATAACCCCTGAGTATCCAAGAGTCCTGAAATGATGACAAAGTTTTTTCAGCAGGGTTTGGATGGAATCTGAATGGGCCAAGTTCAGGTCCTGTATTGCAGGTAGCCTCTGCATGGCCTGAATGTCATTTGTTCCTGTAGCAATGGCAACCAAAGGACCCACTGGTGGATGCCAGCAGTGATGGAGGCCGTCATGCTGAAGAAGGAGGCCGTCAAGACCTGTGTGGGGAGTGGTGGGTACCTTCAGGAGTATGCGGTTTCTGGGTTATTTTTAAGGGCTATCCAGTCCTTATATAACCAAAGCAGGAGATGTGTCCACATTCTTGGCACAGCGTCAAGCTCATTTCCAGTGCAGGTCGGGCTCCATCAGGGCTGTCCCTAGTCTCTGATCCTGTTTGTGGTGTTCATGGACCAGGTCTCGAGACACAGTTGTGGAGAGGATGGTATCTGGTTTGAGAACATCAGGGTCTCTTCTCTGCTTTATGCAGATGATATGGTTCTGTTGACGTTTTCATGCCAAGACCTTTGGCATGCACTGGGGCAGTTCGCAGTAGTGTGTGAAGCGGCCGGAATGAGAGTCAGTTCCTTTAAGTCTGGGGCCAAAGTTCTCCGTCGGAAATGGGGTGGGTGGGGGACTTTGTCTCAGTGGGAGGAGTTTAAATATCTGAGTGTCTTGTTCACAGGTAATGGTAGGATAAAACGGGAGATGGATTGGTGGGTTGGGACCTTGTCCTCAGTAATCAGGGCATTGCTTTATTTGTCGTGGTGAAGAAAGAGCTAAGTCAAAAGACAAAGCTCTCAATTTACTGGTCTGTCTTCCAAGTGTCACCAATGGTCATGAGGTTTGGATCATGACCAAACGAATGAGATCTTGAATACAAGTGTCCAAAAGTGGCTTCCTTCACAGCCTGGCTGGGTTCAGCCTTAGAGATAGGATGATAAGCTCTGTCATCCAGGGGGAGCTCGGAGTAGAGCTGCTGCTTCTCCACTTCAAAAGGAGTCGTTTGAGGTGTTTTGGGCATCTGATTAGGATAGGGGTACAAATCTCTGTGTCTGGCAATTCATTTTAGATTTTTGATGTCAAGATTCGATTCAGAAATGATTTTTGATTTGGAAACAATTTTTCTATTAAAATAGTCATAAATTTTGTTCAAATTATGTAACTGACGAGGTGAAAAGATTAAACATGTTTACATTTGTCTATTTGAAGCCAACTCAGCCACAGAGTCGTATCCAGCGACTCTCCAACGGAGATCACATTTCTCTCCCTGAGTAATCGGCTTTGGAAACTGCATGAACCAAATATCTTGCATATGAGGCATATCGGCCATCACTATTGTGTGTCCTGTAGCAGTTATATTTATTAGATACCATTTTTCTGCTGTTTTTTTAACTGATGCAAACCTCGTCCAGAGCACTGTTTTGTATTATACTCAAAATACTGTTTGTTCAAAATCCGGGTACTTGCTGTCCTCATAGATAGCATAGGGAGATATCTTTAGTAACCCTGACCAGCACTATTGTTCCACTCCAGATGCCCTTCCTGATGGGAGCAGGGCTCAAACCTATTGCCTCAGGCTTATGGGACTTCCGCACTAACCACTGTATTACTGCGGTCCCCTTAATATAAAGTCGGAATAAATCATAACATTACATCATATCAAATTCATGAGACCTAAATAGTTAAAAATTACATTGTCTTAAGTATGTAAATATCTAAAAAATTAATGTCAATGTTCCATTACTTCAAAACTGCTGTACTAAACCTGTTCTTGTTTTTTTTGTTTTTAACAAGGTTTTCACTTTTATTTATTTATTTATTTATTTCAAATCCCTCTGTTTTTAATTACTGTTGGTAAAGTTATTCATTTTACTGACTGTACCTTTTTCATATATCAGTTTGCAATCACCACTGGCTGATCCTCTACTTGTAGATCTTAATTTGATTTTGTAATGTGTACAAAATACAGTACATCCTGAATAACTTGAAAAATAAAGAAAACAGTTTTCTTTTGAAAACTGGAGTTCCAGGTCAAAATCTGGGATTGGAAAATAAAATAAACATCTGGCATCTACAGCCAGATTCTTAGGATCCACTGTGGGATGGACCTTTACAAGAGATCCTTCCTGTCTACAGCCATCAGTATCTATAACATCTTTTAATGAAACGAGGATAACGAGTTACAACAACAAATAATTTCCCTTTGGGATTAATAAGGTATTTTTGAATTGAATTGAATTTGAAATCTAAGAGTCACGCCACCAAATATATGTAAACCTTGTGAGCTAGGTATCTTGATATATGAAAACTGACTACCCCCATCATTTGAGGAAACTATGCTTTCTAGTTTTTATATTGTTTTAAAGTATAGTTTCCCTAAATGATTGAGTTGTCCAGTGTGGTGGTCAAAGATTAATCTTTGGTGGCCAAGGCCACCATTGACCACCCCCCCCGGCTTTGCCATTGCGCCTCACCAGGATCTGTCACTCTGTGCCGCCATGGATGAGCAAAAAATAAACAACTAAATATATAAACTACCTCTGTTCTTATACACGTTACTCCTATCAACTTGAATATCTTCCAAAACACTAAGGTTTACTTGCATTCCCTGTTCAATTCTAGTCCAGAAAAACACTCATTTTGAAAACTACAAACATTCACTATACAAATCAAAACCACATTGGCACACTGCTTGTGCAGTCAGCAGAGGCAAGATGAGAACAACACTGAGGAATACTTGTATTTGTACTTATACTTCTACTTGTTTGGGGGAAAGAAACATATCTGTGCATCCCTAGTATGAAACAAGACTTGAGCTTTTTTTATCACTTAGAACGAGGAACAGAATGAAGTTATCCTAACATCTTAAATGAAGGCAGTACAAAGTGCATGATATCATCATCATATTTGAATGAATTTATCACGTTTCTGCACGGATGTGCTGCAACGTGATGAATTCATGCGTACATTTGAGCGTCTCATTTGCCAATTGCTTGAACAGTCAGGGAATATTGCTCCGTCAGTTACTAAGCAACAGCCATGATGCAGAAAGGTGGAGCTGTGCTGCAGATGGTGAAAACTGCAGGGGCCCAACTTCCCTAAGGTTCTGTGAGACCATGGAGCTGCTGACTAACCCAATGTCAGTCCTATTATTTCAGGATTTCCACACCCTAAAAATAGATGTGATATTTTCACTGTCTCTGTGTGTGTGTGTGTGTGTGTGTGTGTGTGTGCGCACGCGTGTGTGTGTTGGTGGGTTTTATACAGTCTGTGTTACTTTGAACCAGCTAGCAATGATACAAGTGTTAATATGATCAAATGTTGCCACATGTTTTGTGCGTGTTGGGGGGGGGGGGGGGTCAAATTGATATAAGGATCTGAATGAGAGATGTTGTTTCAAGACATTTCTGTGTGCGCATGTGTGTGTGTGTGTGTGTGTGTGTGTGTGTAAACCAGTGATTAAGCTGTTTGTCTGGGTGGGCTCTTTGTTTTGATTTCTTCTCTTCTTCTCTCCGTTCCAATGCTTCCCCCCTCTCCTATGAAGCAAGGACAAGTTTGGAAGGTTTGCAAAATTTCTCACCTTCCACTGATGAATCCCCTTCCTCTTTCACCCTCCTTCTCCCCCACCCCCACCTCCACCTCCTCCTGGCTACCTGTACTGATCTGTTGGTCCCCTCCTTCGTACCCCACTCCTCCTCTTCATGTTTGAATCTGTACTGCTGAGGATTTGGCCTGGGCTCCATTCACTGTCAGTTCGACCTTTGCAGAATCTGTTCATTTGTTTTTGGTGCAAAATTCATAAAAAAATGTTTTTGTCCCACTAAGATTCAAACTAAATGTTTTTGCTGTTTATAGGTTCAGGTTTGGTTTATTTGTCATATGCAAAATTAACACATGGTCAACAATTAAATGAATTGCTGAGGACGAGAAGAATCGTCTAGACTCGCCAAAAAATAAAACAACAAGAAATACCAAAGCATGCAGCAAAAATACTAAAACATACTAGAAAATACAACTAAAATACTAAAAACAAGGTGCCAAAGTTGAAAAAGAAATACTTCTAAAGTGTGGTTCAATTAGCAGTGAGGTTCTTTTAACAGCGTGGTTCTGTTCTATTAGTAATAACTACTGTAAGTTAGTAATATCTAAGTTTTAGTATTTGGTTACTTGTTCATATTCAAATGTAGCTAAGTTTTCCAGTAGCCAAACTTTTGATTCAACATATTTGACAAAACAAATACACGTTTATTTGTAAGAGTTGCTAATATTTGATGTGAAAATATTAGAGGTGGTCTTGATTTCCTTAATTTTGGGAGATCGGCTGATACTTACATGAGAAACTGATTTTACTGATTTTTTTTTTTGGTAGTTTTACCAACAATTGTCTGAACTTCATTTATATTTCGGAGCACTACCTCATGGCCAGTTAAAACACGTTTGTATTGTTTCTAGGATATTGTTCAAGGGTTTGTTTTTCAATAAAATAATATTGGAAAATTAAAGGTGCATTGTGATTTTATAACACCTGACAGTTTCGCTTAGAAAACAAAGTCAGAATCGGCAGGTCAGACTTTTTAGGGATCGGCCAGAAAACTGCAATCGGTGCACCTCTATAAAATATTAACTTTAGAAAAAGTATGTGGTTTTTTTTATTTATCTAGACTCCATCACTGGTCTCCAAGGATAAGATGTGCAGATCGAAGATTAAACAGCTTTATTTGTGCAGAGTTCCAATAAAGTTTTGAAAAATCTTTAAAAGTTTTGAATTTGATAGCATTTTCATTCATAACGCATCAAAAATGACAATTGGTCATTATAAATCAGCTGTTGCTTCATCAGCCACAAGTTCCGAGTTTAATATAAATTAATTGGGAGGTGAGGGAGTGCGACATTTTAATTATTGCCCTGTAATTATGTAAATTAATAATATAACTGTAGACGTAAAAGATGTTTGATGATGTGTAGGAACTTTAGTTGGTACATAGTAATTATTTGAGAAGTAAGGGTTTAGATTAGGAAAAATGTGTTTTAGGGTTGGGAAACTTTAGGCACCTCATGATTCAAATAGATTATGAAGATAAGATTATAAAACAATAACACTTTTTGATTACCTGCTGTTATCAGGATTGTGGAAAAAAAAAACATCCAGATGCAAAGACAATAACACAAATGTTCACATTTAATGACCGTTTTTCATATAAAATACAGATTTATGTATCCTCACTTTAATTGCTGGTTCTGATAAACTGGAGGATTAATAAATTAGTTGCCACCTCAAATATTTAAAATCTGCTACATATTTAGGTCTGATCTGTTTGCCGTTGTTCACTTTTAGAGACTATCAGCAAAATAAATGGGCCTAAACTTTTCCTTCCACGTAAGGGAGATGAGTTTATCAGTTATTATAAAAAAGATGTCTTCAAACTGAGCTCTTCACTTCCAGATAAGTGTTTTAATACAGACTCAAACTGCCTTTAAGTCTAAATGAACTCTAAATCAAGAATTATTTGCAGTTTGTTTTTAGTTGCACCAGCCCAATAAACAGTGTTGAGTGAGGAGATAATCCCTGTAAACCATTTGATGTTTTTGTGAAACAGTTTTTAAAGTATTTAGGTTGACACGGATTTCAACAATCCTGTCAAATCTAAAAATTGCTCAAAGATGAATTCTTATTCCGACAGGCGCTCCAGGCAGTTAGCCAGTTCTGAGCGAGTTGTCGCAGTTCTCACGCGGGTCTGTTTCTGCTCTCATCAGACCATCCATTCTTTAGAGCTTTTTTTTTTCAGTCCTTTTCTCAGCAGTTGATCCTGTTTTGTAGAAATGACAAGGCTCCCGCTGTGAGAAATGGACAGACGTGAATTCCCTTCAGGGACAGAGTGGTTTGTGGCAGGCTCAAAACTTGCATCCAATAATTAGCGGGCATAATTAGTTTTTAGATGTATGTTTCCACCAGCCCGCTGCGATGTATTCCATAGTCCCCTACCGTACATCGGGGGGTGTTTGAGAAGCTCAGCCATTAATTGCTACCTGGAGTGTACAAACAAACCAAGGTCTGTTCTGGTATCCAGGCAATAAACCCTTCTTCTTCCTTCCTACCACTCTGATTTTCAGCTTACTCTCATGCCCCCATCCCTTCATTGACTCTCACCCTCCTTCCATCCATCCCTCCATCAGTCCCAACCCAGTCAACCAGCTTACTCCACCAGCCTCCACCTACACTAATGGGTACCACAACAAAATAAATCATTAATTTGTATTAATTAATTTGTTCTGTTATGACAAACCGTTAGATACATTTTACCAAAAGTAAAGCAATTACTGATATTGGATTAAGTATTTGACGGTGTCATCGTAGCTACAAAAGTAATTCATGTCACTTGTTTAAACGTGTGATGGAAATCTTTGACAAGATTTATGTTTTGAGATTTTGCATGTTTTAGTTCGTTATTGCACTTTATGTATGATATTATATTATGTTACTAAACATAAAGCGGTGCAGAGAAGAGGTGGGAATCTTTAGGAGCTTCAGGATTTGATTTAATTATAGTTCAAAGGGCATCTGGGTTCATTCATTATCACAATTTAAACAAAATCCTCAGCGTAAAAGGATCTAAATATGTTGCTCCTTACTGCAGTATAAACAGTTTTTTATTCTAACAAGATTTTGGGAACTAAATGGACAAACAATGTGTCAAAATGCAGAGTCCAGTGATATAGGAGTATGTGGCAATGGATTTCCATGCCTTACAAGGAGCCCTGGCTAAGAAGCCAGAGCTCCCAACAACCCTGGAAACCAAAAAAACAAACAAACATGGAAAATAACTTTCACATTTTCTAAACAGGAAAAACTCAGGAATTATTAACACTTATTTGATTAAAATATATTTCTAAGATTTTAAGGTGTACACGTTTTTTAATTCTGTTACGGGTATTCTAGTGTCATTGAGTCCATGTTCTGTTTTTACAGTGTTCATAGTACATGTATTCTTACCGGTTGGCTGTGGTGGCTTTTTGTTTTACGTTGCATATCGAAAAGGGGCATTTGGAAATCCCCTCCTTCCATCAGTCTGTCCGTTCATCTGTCTGTGAATGTTGTGAGTGAAGTAACTTGAAAAATAAGTGAGATAACAACTTCGATTTTGGTGTTTGGCTATATCTAGGTGTAAGAAAGTTTCCTCTCGTAAATTATGGTGTTAGGTCTAACTCCAAAATGGCCACCACTATTGATATATGATGTGTGTGTGTGTGTCTGTAAACTGGACACCCATATCATTTGAGAAAACTATGACTTTCTAGTTTTTATACGTATTGCTTTAAAGTAAAGTTTTTGTGAAATGATATGGGTGGCCAGTGGGTTGGCTGAAGATTAGTCTATGAGGACCAAGGCCACCATCGGCCTCCCATTGGCTCCTCCATTGCACCTGGTGGCAGATAAACTTGCTCCCTCCACTCGCCAGGTTCTGTCACTCTGCCGCCTCAAACAAGAAAAATAAACCTCATCTCTCTTCTTCACAACGTAACTCCTACCCATTTGAGTATCTTGCACCAAAAACATTTAAGTTTACTCGCATTCCCTGTTCAAAACCAGTTCAGAAAAACTCACCTCGAAAACTACGAACATTCACTATTCAAATCCTTCTCTGACGGGACATTGGCCTACTGCTTGTTAGTATCTGATGTTATACAATTGCTATATGAATGTACTGCAGGCTACAGTGTACTTACTGTCATCTCTGACACTGCCACAGTCAATGATCCAGTGTTTCCCCTTCCACTACCCAAGGAGGGTGCACCGCCCTGTCGACAAAACCCAATTTTGCTCCCACCTTTCTGAAAAGCACCAGTATTAGTATGGTTATTATTATTATTTTTTTGGTTGTAGCTTTACTGGCCAATCAAAAAAAAATTGTGTTCATAGTAAAACGTTTAAAAAAATAAACTTTTCATTTTTCCAATACGGCAACATCTTACAAACATATGATGCCTCAACCGAACCGCCATGTCCAAGCAGTGAGTCTGTGGCATTAAAAGTCTCAACACAGGATCATCTGCTGCTGAGTGGTGATTGGGGTCTAATTAAAGGTACAGGACTAGTTGTTTTGATGCAGCTTATTTGGCTCCCACTTCTGTTGTGTCAAAAGACAAACGGATCTCCGGATCACAGCTCGAAGCAAACAATGTCGGCTGAAGTTTTGAGTTTGTGCCAAAGCATGACTAAACACCAAAGCATGTCAGTGATGAGTGGTAATGTTGCAGAATGTTGTTTCAGAGTTGCCTGTCATGAGTCAGAGGATAACTGGGATTAAATGACTACAGTAGAGACGTATGTGTTGTGTAAGGTTAATAAGTTAGGGGTGTTGACATCTAGAGTGTGGTGTTGCACTGGTGTGGGATTCAGTCACATCATGATACGTTGACACTCACATTCAACTTTAATCTCTCACACACACGTTTTGACTTTAACCAATTCAAATTTAAAGAACAATTCTTTTGAAAGTAAGCAATGATAGTTTAATACTAAGGTTAGAATCTGATCAGCTGAGCTATTTAGGCAAATGGAAG